GTATTTAGCCACCTGTTTCATTTAGTTAATCCATATCTGTTTGGACCTGTGCAAGTTAACTGTTCCGACATCATGTCAAACCAAGACTCAAGCCCTCCAAGTTCGCCGTTCCCATGTGCGCAGGTTATTCCTGAAACTGATTTGTCTGACTCAGACTCGTCTGATAACAGTCAAAAATCTCTCTTCAATAGTCGTCTGGCCCATGAAGTGCAAACTTCAATAAGTCAGATCTCATTAGGAGACACAAAAAGTAAGGATAAACCGGCACCCAGAACAAGAGACAAGCAACAGACCAGTAGAGACCACCGACTAGAACACGAGGACTACAAATTTGTCCGAAATCTAGCGGTACCTCTCCAACAAATGGTTTCAAAGCGAGTCTCCATGAACAAACAAATCAACTTGCTGGAGAACGCAGTCAGAAACAAGAACCCACCGAAGTACCTCCTGAGCCAAGTTCCAGTACCTACTCCACCCAAAGGCCATCGAATTCAATCGAATTTGGCGAACGTGTGGAAGGAGGTAGCCATGTCAGCTGCACTCGGGCGAGCAAGACTCAGCCTACGGCAACTACAGGACTGGAAGGAGCAAAACTACCGTTCTTTCGAAAGACAGAACCTCGAGGCCCTGGACCAGATCAAGGGCCATCTCCTGACCAAGGGGAACATCAACATAGCCAAGAAACTGCGCGCCCACTTCCTGCGTGAGCGGTCTACCAAGCAGCCAACCAAGCAGCGCCGCTAAACCACCCCCGGTCTCCACTAAACACAAACGGCTCTTTTCAGAGCCACCACAGCTTCCAAAAGAGATTGATCAATGTGTTTACTCTTTATTTATTATAATAATTACCACAACAATTATTATTATTAAATAACCATGACTAGGAGAAACATTAGTTCATTCCACAAAAAAAAGGAAAATTAAAACATAAAGCCAAACGATTTGCCCATTCATGTTCAAATCTCCAACAGCTGTCCCAAGCTAACCAACGAAAAAAAATAGCCAACCAAAATGAACAATTCATAACCAACCTCTCAAAGCTATCACTCTCACCTACCGAGAAAATAGCTTTAGGCAAAGGTTTAAACTTTGTTCCCACCCCGGCTAAACCAACCCGTCTCTCACTTATCCAAGATATAAACAAATATCAAAGACGAATAATAATTGCATTCTTGATGCACAAAAAAGTTCTAAAGAAGAGGCCCTTCAAACCTCCATCAACCTGGCAACCCAAATCCACTCAAAACCCCACACTTGAGAATTATTTGGAAGCTATCAAGATGGAACTCGCCCATGTCAGACTGAGAAAACCTCAGACAAACATGTCCCAAGCTGAATTATCAGCAATACGCAAACTCAAAAACAACCCATCTGTTGTTATCAAGCCTTACGACAAAGGCCGAGGCATTTGCATCATGACTATGAAAAAGTGGACAGGGATTTGACTCACGAAACCGCACTCAAGGTACACAGCGCCCTCACCGACATGATAAGAAACAAACACATCGACAAACATACCTTTGCCTATCTTGACCCACTTGAACAACCCACGAACTGCCCTACCATGTATTTTCTTCCAAAAATACACAAGACTCCCCCACCGGGTGAGTCTTTTGTCGGTAGACCCATCATCAGCGGTTGCACGAGTCCAACAGCCAAGATATCCGAGTATGTGGATTATTTTCTCCTTCCAAAAGTATCCGCCCAACCCACTTATGTCCGTGACACCACAGACATTTTGCGGAAACTAGAAAAGGAAACCTTCCCACAAAACTCACTCCTTGCAAGCATCGATGTAGTTTTCATGTATACCAACATTCACCAGGCAGAAGCCATTGAATCAGTATGCAAAGCCTACGAAAAAACCAACCACAACTACGCCATAACCAAACCCCCTTCAAAACACATCCGCACTCTCCTGGAACTCGTTCTGGGCCGCAACTATTTCCAGTTCGGAGGAAAATTCTTCCGACAAAAAATAGGATGTGCAATGGGATCTGTGGCCAGTCCAGAAATTTGTGACATTACGTTACATGATTTTGAGTTACAAATCTCAGCCCTCACAGACAGAATCCTGTTCTGGGCAAGATTTACAGATGATATACTTATCGTCTACAACGGCCAACTCGAATTTTTCACCCAATTTGTTCACCAGTTGAATCAATTGCATCCCACCCTCAAATTCACATTTGAGGCATCTGAAACTTCCATCACATACCTGGACCTTACCATTTTTAAAGGCCCGCGTTTCCTCTCCACGGGTACCCTAGACACACGAGTGTTCACGAAACCTACGGAAACATATCAGTACTTGGAAAGAACATCATTCCATCCAAACCATGTGTTCCACGGTTTTATCAAAGGAGAAATCCTACAATATGCCAGAAACACAAACAATGAGGATGACTTCTTACAAAAAGTACAAAGTTTCGAAGAAAAACTACTGAAGAGAGGCTACAATTAAGCCGATATTCACAAGTGCAAGCAATCCATCGATTTCTCACAAAGGAAATCTATGATTCACGCAGAACAAGTGAAAATCCAAAAAGGACTTCCCCTCGTCTTCACCACAACTTACAACCCCCATGTAAAACACATGGACATCAAGCGTGCTCTCTCCAGACACTGGCATCTTATCTCAAGCAACCCAACTTTGAAGGAAGTTTTCCCTAAACCTCCTCTAGTTGCCTATGAGATAGCTGAGAACATCAAGAAGAGACTTGTCAGAGCCAAACTCAGCCATACGGCAGACAACCAATCCTCCACAACTGAGAACGAAGATAACACACTTGATATCCTAATTTCACTATTGGATGAACAAATCCCATCCGAATGAAGTTGTAATCACAAATACCGGATAATTTAGACGGAATCTTTTCCTCAAAGTGAGTTCCATTCAACTCATTAACCCATACCTATGGATTCTTTGAATCTAGCGGCTGATGAGTCCCCGAAGGGACGAAAATGCATTCCCGCAATTGCCCTCAGGTAAAACCTAACCCACCCCACTGCCTGGGTAAACTTGGCTACGGTCAAAACTTCCATTGGTTTCTCCCACTTGTTTCTATCCAATTTTTAAGACCCCTTAATGTGTCTTAATTGAAGAAATGAACCACACAATATCACACCATCGAATAACTCAATGTGTTGTTCTTACGCACATTCTTTATTCACAAGCCAATCTATAGGAGAGGCGTCTCTGAATGGGATAGAGCCATCATTTCTCTTATATGGGGCCACTGTTTATCTCGCTCAATAAATATTTACGAGAGATTTTGGTGTTCTTGGCAAGACTGTATAGCAGGTCCACACGGCATTGCTTATATTACTTTAGACCTAGTGTAGCTTGACTTTGTTTGCATTGTTTACTGTTTCTTATTATATTCTTTACTCTCTTATCTTGTTAACAGACTTCTGCCAGAAGTGTCTTGAAAGATCCATTATATAACACACCGTGTTCGTTTGAGTCTTTGGTTTTTAGGTTTAAGTTTTGGTTTTAGGGTTTAAGTTTCTTTATGTTTCTTTAAGTTGTTGGTTTTAGGGGTTAGTCTTTGCTCTTATTCTTGATTTTCGTGGTCTTGGTTTTATCTGGTCATTTTGAAAGTTCTTGTCAATAAATTCTTTTTGTCCTTTTTGTTCGAAATCTAGAACTTGTGTCCCTTGTCCCTATTAATTCAATGTCCTCGCGACTTGTCCCTTCAAAGATCCCAAGTTTATTTTAGTTGTAGTCGTTTTTCCAGGTTACACATGCTTTTATCCTGCTATCTAGCTTTTTATCCATGCATATGTTTTTGTGGTATGTCCTTTTTCTAGAGGCATTTGTTATCATTTATTTGTAATCATTTATTTATAATCATTTATAAGCTACAATCCTGGCCAATCTCGCTGGGCCCCAACCCCCCGGCCCCCGTTCAGTGTTGTCTCTCATTGCGCGGTTTGTGCTCCATCAGCTGGAGAGAACAACATTGACCGGGGGAGTGGGTGACCGCGGCAGGCTCAGGAAGTGTCCCAACCATTTTGGCCGGGATTGTAGACCTGCCCGCCGCTGGACATGCTTTAATGGCCCTTGCATTGTACTTGGCGAGATTTCCTACGCAAAACGGATATTGGGATGAACATTAAATTAAATCTCGCCGTATCTCCAAAACTGGTACTCACTGGTGACTGCTGAGTCCATAAAAATTAGCTTCTAGTAGGCCTAACTGGTTTCTTTTTTTTAATAAGTACTTGTTGTTTTCTCAACAACTACAAATTAGTAACTGGTACATGTTGACTACAAGTTGGTAATCAGTTTCTTCAAGTGGTTTCAACTGGTAATTGTTGACCATATGGTAACTGGTTCTTTAAACTGGTTTCAATTGATACCTGTTGACTCAATAAGATGACAAGTTTGTAACTGGTTATTTCAATCAATTTAACCTGGTACCTGTTGACTCCATAGCAATTATAAATTGGTAACTGATTTGTTTAACTGGTGCCAACTTGTTCCTGTTGACTTCTTAAGAGTTACTTGTTGACAACTGGTTTGTTCAACTGGTTTCAACTGGTTAAATCCAACATATTCCAGATGAAAAAAACAGTTTTATTTGAAACCTGTATGAATAAGTTTGAACTTGTTTTGTTTTTATTAACTTGACAATAGGTCGTTTAAAATGGGGTCGATCGGGTAACTGGAAACAGACGTACGTTTTCAGGACGGCCCTACAAAATACTCGGAACGGTCCTGCTCAATTTGTAAAAACGTCTTTCACCCACCTTGCTATTGACATCGCAACTATTAAGCAGAAGTTCTTCAACGCACTTCAGGTTGCCCTTCAAAGTAGCTATGTGAAGAAGGGAGGAAGCATTTTTCAGCAAGACATTCACCTTGCTTCCAGCATCCAAAAGACACCTCATAACTTGTGGTTCGTTTCTGTCAAATAGAAAAAAGAAATTTGATCTTGTATTTTGTAAAAGTATTTTGATCTTGCCGGAGGTATTCCATGAACCACTGCTAATGCTCACCCGTCTACTGCAGACGTCAGAGCTGTGTATCCTCCCTTATCTTGTTGTTCCAAAGGGGCGCCATTGGTAACTAAGGCGACAACGGTATCCAAGTGACCACCATAGGCGGCTGCATGCAGTGGAGTCTGTCCTTCTCTGTTCTGGGACTTGACCTACAAAAGTGTTATTTTGGCAATTTCATGATACTTTATTCGTTTCTTATCCTGGACAATTTGTCTTTTTAAAGGATTTTTAATTATTGTTCAAAGCTATAAAATAAACTTGGAAGTATGAAAATTGCTTGAAGATTATGGTTTGCAATTATGTTGGCAGCACAATTGTCTTTATAATCTTTGGGTCTAAATATATGATATAAATAACCGAAACGGTCAAAAATTCAGACCCTAGTTCAGAAGTACAATACGGCATAGCAATTGTTCCCTACAATTAATAATTCAATGTAATAATCGTTATTGATAATCGCTTCACAGTTTTAGCTATTACCAAGCCAGGAGTTTTGCTGATGATTTCTTGCACTTTCGTAGTGTTTCCTATAGCCGCTGCGTGGAATAGATCGTCAGCACTAGTTTGTAAGCCAGGATCTTTGAAGAGATCTGGTGAAATGGAATATTCAGAATAATCTGTCGACGTAATTTTTAAAACAGCATTTTTTTCCAGCATGTAGTCATGGCTTAGTGATTAAGATCATTTCACCGGACTTATGCTCTGGTGTTTCAGAGGCAACAAAACTTTGGTTCGAGCCCAGGTCTGGACACTTAAGGTGCCCTTAAGCAAGGTACTTAACAACTATTGCTTCGTTCTTTGAACGGGACGTAAAGAACACAGTAACAATTATCGCTACTAGAAGGTGTTTGCCCATGGTGTTTCTGGTCTCCTGTTTAACTCCCCTGCTGAGTATTTTGGAGAAGAACCAAGTACCAAATAACCAAAACCATGAATGTTTAGTAAAGTTTTAAACAGCCACAAATTTTGTGAACATCCTACGTCTTCTACTTCCTCATTTATTACCCATACGCATCTAAATTTGGAAGTCAAATCCAATTATGATTTACATTGAAGGACTTGTTGTCATTATTTTTAAAACAATCAACGATAATGATTTACAAGTAATTTGGTTTAATAATAAGCATACCGCGATAATCATATTTGGTTTCCTTGTCGGTCCGGCCATTAGAACGGTTGTATTCATACTGCGTCTCACTCAGGGGGAAGCATGGTGCATTTGACCCGGCGGCCGTTGTACAAAAATCCTCACCTGTAAAGTTTACATCGTTATTAAATAATGAAAGGTTTGCGGATTAAACACCATTTGCGAATAATTTCTCAACTAAGAGAATGGTACTGAAAAGAACAAGAGTATACCTCTTGTTCTTTTCAGTACCATTCTCTCAGTTGAGAAATTATTAGTTTATACAACTCAACGTTCCGGTCAGTACGCTCTGACCGTCTTCAGGAGAGTGCCTAAACTCTAAGAATTTGTGGATTGCAAGTAGTTGGGATCCTAGAACAAGCTTGGTGCCCACTGAAGTGGAACAGTAGGGTTGCAGGCACAGTAGATGGAGGACCTAGGGTGTAGGAGACTCATCAGTCTAAGGTGGTAGCTGAGGACATAGGGTATAGGAGACCCATCAGTCTGGAGGAGTGGGAGCCAGATGTCGTTGAGGTGAAACCCAATGTCTTGCGGAACTGTGTTGTGCTTGCGGATCTCAATGGCTTCCCGTATGCGTTTTGGATGCCAGAACTGGATCCGTGCGATGAGTTCGGGCGCATCCCAATCAACTTTGTGGTCATTAATGTGGGAATGTTTGACAATGGCCAATTTGTCAAAGTCCCCTCGCAGTCCATGTGCTCTGTGTTCCTTGAGCCTAGTTTAGGCACTCTCCTGAAGACGGTCAGAGCATACTGACTGGAACGTCGAGTTTATACCTCTGGTTCTTTTCAGAACTATTCTCTTAGTTGAGAAATTAATCGCACATGGTGTCTCCGCAAACCTTTTTTCATTTAGTATCTCCACCATGCAAAGCCTCAAATCTTACTTAAATCATTGTTGGTATTTAGGGAATGATTTAGAAATGTATAGGTTTTTTTCGAGCAAGTTTAACAACAACTTATAATTTCAAGGGTTCTTACGGTTCTTTGTAGGTATTACTGCATTCAATTTCGCTTTTGTGCACGCTTCCTTTCGTTCTTGGCAATAAGGTTTTCCCATCCAATTTCGCAAATTGTTCATTCAATCCGACAGAATACATATTTAAAATTAGCATAAAAATACGAGTGCCGTTTCACACATAGTCCAGTTAAGTGAAAGTTCAAAACACTTCAGGTTATCTTTGTAAGCATGTGGTCTAAGGAATGGGAATGCGCACAGGCTATTTTATTTCGCTGTCCATTCTTTTAATCAGTCATTTTTGGAAAAGTTGATAGCACCCTCATGTGTCGGATGGAGATGTGACAGTGCGTAAACAGTGCGTAAGTTTTTCATTTAAATTAAGCCTAAGCTTTGCATTTCATCTCAGGAATCCATAAAAAACACAACATTATCTGCAAGATGTTAATATCAAAGTGGAGGGAGTAAGTGAGGATTTTGGATTGTTCTTGTAATTTGGAAAGATCGCGATCGCCAGCGCAACTCACTTGTCTTTACAACAGCCTTATAATATCGCTCTGAGTAAGAAACGCATGCCACGAAGTTCCTGAACTGAACACAAAACCAACGAATGCTTTCTTCAACAAGTAGGAAAGCAGATTTGTCTCAGTGAAAGGATCAATTCAAGCAAGCATTTTTACTTTGGCCACACTTGCCGAAGACAGTTTTGAGAAAATAATTTTGCAAGGTGCCATGCCTTGCAAGAGAAAGAGGGGACAACATAAAATACGTTGGTTATTATCGTCACCGACACCACGTACTGACACCTAGTTGCGCGTTAGTGCGCGGCACGCGCGCGTATTTTACCGAACCGGGTTATTTTCATTTTCACGAATTCACAGTGCGGCATTTCTGGCGCCCAGTTCGTTTTCACGAACTGACACCGATATAAATTTACCAGTTAAAATTATGTTTAATTACGTTTTTGTGTTAGCCCACAAGTTTACGGATGGATTAAATTCATGTCAAAACTTTCAAAACTTTTTGAAACGATTTATGTTGGTGGGTTTACCTATAACTTTTTATAAAATTTTTCACCCAGACCACCCCTAAAACGAAAGATGTTTCCCAAACTGAAAAGGTAGCCATTTTGGAAATGTATCCCTCCACAAGATGGCTAAATAGAGCCACGTTCGAACCAAATTGCCAGAGGGTCAGTGCCGTATGTCTTCAATTCCCCAATTCCAAGGTTCTCAGGACTCTCTGTAATATAGAAGAATTTGAGTGTACAACTTGTAATCATGAGCTGGGCGGATAGATTTTTGGCCTATTTACATGGTTTCACCCATACATAAGATCTGTTTCACGAACAGTGCCCCCTAGTGTCCGGGCAATAGTTTGATTTTAGTAATCTCCTTCCCCCCACCCCATTCCCCGGAACATAGTTACGCCACTGTTTGGCACAAATTGTTGTCCACCAATTTTTCAAAAATGTTTACAGAAGGTGCTTGGTGCCTTGAGTAGAGGCAATTGATACATCCCCACAAAATCAGTTTCGTCTTTCATCATTCAATTTCATAGTTTGATCAACCTCTCTAAGACATAGGTGATGAAAATTCATCAATACACATCGAAATTGTTTCAAGTGTTGCCAATTGGTAGCATTCAGAGTTCGAATTCGGCCTATTCTTCACTTTAATATATGCTTTGTCGTATGACATGAATTTACACGTAATCCCCATCCTGGAAGAGGTTCTGGGAAAAAATTGTTGGTGCACAAGTGTTCTCCTTACTGGATGCAAAGCACGGGTTTGGGCAGATACCCCTTGCTAGTGACAGTCATAAATTGACAACCTTCATCATAACTCCAATTGAGCGTTACTGTTTCACACGCTTTCCTTTCGGCATTACATCTGCGCCTGAGTTGTATCAGCGTATTATGTGTGACCTTCTCGTGAATCTGGATGGAGTAGTTGTCTACATGGATGATATTCTCATCACCGGCCAAACACAGGCAGAGCACGATCTTCGTGTGCATCGTGTCATACAAATGCTACCGAAGGCTGGCTTGCGGCTAAACAAAGAGAAATCGACGTTTTCTCAAGAGGAGGTTACCTTTCTTGGTCTACTGCTAGACAAGGATGGTATACGTGCTGATCCTTTTCAAAGATCACAGCAAATTTTCATAAGTCAAGAGACTCATGGGCATGGTCAATTTGTTGTCCCGCTTCATCCCGAATGCAACATCAGTAGCAGCCAAAAATCACCGATCTAACGTTGAATGGATGTGGGGAGCACAACAGAAGTCTGCATTCCGACAACTCGAGACACTCCTCACTAGATCGCCCACATTGGCCTTCTATGATCCCGCTAAACCTACCCATGGTCAGCACAGACGCCAGTAGCTATGGGCTGGAAGGATGCTTGCTACAGCAGCCAGAAGATGAGACATGGAAGCCAGTCGTTTACTGTTCCCGTACCCTGTTTTCTGCTGAGAGGAAGTATGCCCAATCGAGAAGGAGTTGTTGACCAGCGTATGGGCATGCGAGCGATTTTATGTCTACATCAGAGGACTTCACGTGACACTACAAACCGACCACAAACCACTGGTGTCTTTGATCAATTCAAAGGACCTCTGTGACGCACCACTGAGATGCCAGCGCTTACCGATGCGCCTCATGAATTTCCACTGTACTGCTGTCAACTCACCAGGCAAGACCCTAGTCGTTGCAGATACCCTGTCTAGAGCTCCAGTGCATACAGACCTGACAGCTGATGACAGTGATGATCTTGCAGCAGAAGTTGAAGTAGACATGAGGGTCACCAGGGGGTCACCAAGAGCCGACTCCGTGCAAATCAAGCCATATGGTGGCCTGAAATCGGTACTGACACCGCGCAGCACATTCAACAATGCAAGTTTTACACAGAAAAGCAACCAGCACTTAAGGCGGAACCCCAGGTGTCAACACCTTTACCCCGAATATCGCAACGAATCGCGTGCGATCTTGCGGCAGAGCTGAAAGGGAAGGTGTACTTGGTGATCGTTGACTACTACTCGAGATGGTTTGAGATTCATCACCTCGTGAAGACAACAGCCTTAACAGTCATCAACTTCATGAAAACTACCTTTGCACGATATGGGATCCCTGAAGTTGTTGTATCAGATAACGGCCCACAATTCCTGGAAGAGTTTCAACAGTTTGCAAGAGAGTTCACACTATCGCCAAGCAAATGGGCAAGCCGAAAAAGCTGTCCACGTGGCCAAGAGTATCCTGCGTCAACCAAATCCCATACGAGCTCTCACGACATACCGCGCAAGCCCACTTCCAAGTCTTGGTGTCAGTCCGGCAAGTCTGATGGTGTCAGTCCGGCAAGTCTGGGACTAGAATGCGCACTACCCTACCGATGTTGCCCAAGAACCTCCTTCAGAAAACAATCAACAAGACAAAGTTGCAACAAGCAGACGCTGCTTCCAAGTCCAAGGGAGAAGTCTACTTCAACCAGACACATGGTGCCAAGGCATTGGATCAACTGGAGATAGGAGCCCGGGTGAAGATCAGAACAAAGAGAAAACTTGGTCCAGTCGGAGAGGTCCTACGTAAAGCAAAAAAACACACCGTTCTTACATAGTGAGAGTAAATGGCGCAGAATATCGTCGGAACAGGCGGCATATTGTCCGGATGCCACAACCACCACCTGAGCCATACTTCGAGATCCAACTGGAGGATCCAGTCCAGCAAAACCCAGATGTTCAGCAACAAGGAATGAGACAGTCTCAGCGAATGATGAAACCACCAGCATGGCAGCAGGATTACATCATGGACTAGAACTCTTAACTGTCACCACTCAATCACTCAATCACTCAATCACTCATACTCTGTTAAATCAATCAATCTTGCATTATCTCACACTCATCTCTGAATTCATATTCATTCTGATTTAATTCAAGAAATCTGCTTGAACCAAGAACATTGGAATCTAGGAGCTGATTTGGAACACAACATATAGCAGACTCTTTCTAACATTGAACACTCAGACTCAATCTTGTGCATTGTAAATGTGTTTTCTTAACCAGTTTATTTCTGATCTAGAAAAGGGGGAGATGTCGTATGACTATGTCGTATTACGTAATCGTAATAAAAGAGGGTTCCAAGATGGCATCCCGCTATGAACGAGTTTGACAGATAAATGCAGTGAGTCCGCTCCAGTTATTTCCCTATTTAACGCTACCCAAGATATAACATACTTTTGTAAAGTAAATTAGTCTGGTGTGTGCTTAAAGAGGTTGTGGAATGCTTAAAGACATCTCCGTCGGGTATATGTAGCCTAAGATGTGATGAAATAAAAACGATTATTGTTTCTGTCATGAAATGAATACAAAAGGTACGTTGAGAGCTGTTTTTCGGGTTCTGTTTCGGGCCGAACGTGCAATTTGTGTGAAAGTCGTCATTTGGGGCATCAAACCAAACATAGCAAAATAGTGACGTAAGAAACAGGACTCCCGATACAGCGTAGTTCCAGCAAAACTTTTTGCAAATCACTTGACGTTTTAGTAGTGTCTATTGATTATTCAGTGTTTTAATGTTTACACAGCATTTTATTTATAGATTGTGGAACATTCTTTTGTGTGTGTTACTAACGGCCAACCATTATAAGAAACGTCTATTACAGCAACATCGTTCACGCACGCTATGTTTTTAGCATGTAAGGCAAGCTGGAGATTCCGGATGTACTTGTGCCGCCGGCCCGGCCGCGGGGATCGTAGATTTTGACGCCGGTAAAGTTTGGGATTTCAAAATAAATTCGTTGTTGATACGTGTACGGGTAGCGAACGCACTATGCCAAAGCAAACCTATATGCCTATAATTTTGTCAGTGGCCGGCTGTAATCACACCACATTCTGTTCTGCAATAAATTTCCAATTTTCCCGGCCGGGTGCCAGCATGGAGGAATAAGAATCCTCCGTAAAGTGCCATGCAGTTTGTCCAAAAAGATGAGATCGGATTTCAGCCAAACGGATAGAGCGCTGATACATGCACTGTACATTTTTCACGGCAAGAGTCTTCTTCGCTCAAGAGATAATTTGGAATTGCTACACGACTGTACAGAAAACAATGGTGGTGCTGTACTGACACGTACGCCCGATCGCGACAGTATAAGGCGACCACGTGATGAGCCATTATCCCCGGCCGGCCCCGGCCTCCCCAGCCCGGCCCCATCCACAGAACGGGGCGCAGACGGGACCACACACCATTTTTTCAATGTAAGAGAGCTATGTTTTGTACAGCTTCAAAGTTCAGGTAATTCTGTCAGAATTTTTAAAAACGGACCAGAAATAACTGAGATATGATTTGTAGAGTGGCAGAAAATGTGTAAAGCTTAGAGCCAAGTTAATTGTGACGTCATATAATGGCACTAACGCTTAATCACTTTGTGTTAGTGACTGGGCAGAGCTTAGGAGCTCCGTGCGTTGCTGCATGCACGCGATTGGTTAGCCAAGTGCCATAGGTATAGCGCGCTATAGGTTTAGTGCATGTACATGTATGCGCGTATCCGTGCACGTGAGGGCACTACTCACGTGACGGGGAGTTGATGTTGCGGACAGCGAGCGAGCAAGAGGTGAATTACCTGTGCTCTACGTTTTTGGGAATGCTTATGCGCAAATTGTACATAGTCGTTACGCTGGCATGTATGGCTGAGTGTATAGCTGTACGTTGCTGACTGGCCTGCATGGTTGATGCGTAGCAGGTGTGCATTGCTTGTGCTACTGTACATTGTTTATGCTGTTGTACATTGCCTGTGGGGTTGTACATTGCTGTTGCTGGGGCGCATTGTAGACGTTGTGATGTATTGGTGACATTGCGGTGCATTGTTGTGCATTCCAGATGCTGTTACATTGCTGCTGCGTGCAGTAGACTTGGCTCATCTCTCCAATAATTCAAGGACCCAGATAATAGAGCAACCACGCCTATTAATTCAAATTACTGTACATTTAATGATTATTGATGAATTAATTATGGTCATTGTTGATTGAGGTTACCGACAATTCTGTTTCAGATGTCTCTGTTACAGGTTTATTGTGCAATTAACAGGGTTATTAACTATCATTCACAATCGGGCGGTAGATTTCCACCAAAACGGACCTGCACCCTTAGCCTTGAAGGTCGCTCTGAGTGATCTCTCGTCTAGGAAAGAGCCTTGGTTTGGGAAGACTATCTCATGGAGGTATCTTCACCCCACTAGGAGTCAGATTTTTCCTAACAAACTTGGGTTGGCCCGGGGGTTCCTGCCACGAATGGTGTCAGAAGTGGGATGATTGTGAATGATTAAGTTGATTTCTCTGTTGAATAATTGAATATCACATTTTGTTGTGATTAATTCTGTGGTGATATCAGTGGTGGTTTTGAGTATGACCGAAGGCTCGAAGGATCCAGTGGGTGCCTTAAGTGCAGAGGCCCTGGTGCTACAACTGCAAATGGCAACCCAATTTCTGCAGTGGGAAAATGAACTCATTGCGCAGAAATTGGAGGCTGCCATGGAGTTGCAGTCGGGTGTTTCCCCTACGGGAGGAAACATGGGCACGCCAGCTGTGAGCCGGCGTGTGCTCCATCGAGTTGATTCCGATGTTGAGTTTCGGTTGCCCAAAGAGACTTCTGGGTATGTCTCTGGAGCAACGGGGAGAGTGTCAGGCGCAGGTGTGGTGCCTGAGTTAGCCCCTAAAGTGGTGAGGGAGGTTATCCCAGAGCACAGTCGATGCCTATTGCGAGGGAGGCAGACGGTCCAAATGAGGATCTGTTGGTTATCCCCGAGGGTGGCGTGGAACAGGGTAAGGCGAATACCAATTCGTTCGTTGGTGATATGACGACGGTAACCCCTACACCTCTACATGGCGATCTGTTAAGTTTCGCAACTCGACCAGTCGAGGTGGAAGGCAACAGTTCAGCTAGAGTGGACAACTCGTCAGTGGGTCGTGTCCACTGAAACGAGAGTCATGTGTCCATAAGGATTTGAGTCAGACGGTCGAGCAGCAAACGTTAC